GCTTTTGAGTGGATCATATCTAACAAAAGAATTGCTAAGGAGAAGGATTACAAATTTAATGCTAAGAGAGGAAATTGCAAAAAAAATCACCACAGAAGAAGAATGTTATACCTCATCAGTAAGAAAAGCTTTTGAGTGGATCATATGTAACAAAGGAATTGCTAAGGAGAAGGATTACAAATTTAATGCTAAGAGAGGAAATTGCAAAAAAAAATCACCGAATTCTGGAGAACCCATTAAGAGAGTAAATTTAATGTTAATATATTATTTTCTCTGAAATAATTGTTGTCTAACAAGTTTTTTTATCAGATCAAATTCTGGAGAACCCATTATGGATGAGTTCGAGGTTAAAACATAATTGTTATAAAATCAATCAATTTATGAAAATGTAAATCATTATGGATGAGTTCGAGGTTAAAACATAATTGTTATAAAATCAATCAATTTATGAAAATGTAAATATTTAACTACAATTTTATTTAATCTATATTTAGATTGTAGGAAGAATATTTTGATTGGCGTTATCATAATGTTCCCACTCCCGTTCGAGATCAAAAGAGATGTAGTAAGTATTAGTTATTCTTTTATTGGGTATATATATATATATAAATATAGGTCTACAAGAATGTTATACTTCATGAGTAAGAAAAGCTTTTGAGTGGATTATATCTAACAAAGGAATTGCTAAGGAGAAGGATTACAAATTTAATGCTAAGAGAGGAAATTGCAAAAAAATCACACGGTAACATTTCTCTTCAAACTCATTAATTTAATATTTTTTCTTTTAATATATATATATATATATATATTCGTATAATATAACCTTTGATTTTATTAATTGCCGCAATTGATCAAGATTAAAGCATATGAAAAAGTAGATATTGAAAACCTAACTTCAAAAACAGGGGAAGCTGGTGGAACCAGTTAAAGTGTCTAAAAAAATGTCTTCAAACTCATTAATTTAATATTTTTTCTTTTAATATATATATATATTTTTTCGTTTCATGTCTGCACTAATCCTTTTTTTTTTTTCTTTGCCACAGGTCTCTTCTTGTTCTTGCATAAGCTCAAGGTCCTTTTCTCTGTTTTTTCTTTTCATTTTTCTTCTCTTTTCTTTTTTTGCTCCTTGTTTTTGCATGAGCTCTGTTTTTCTTTCCTTTTTATTTTCTATTTTCTTTTTTTGTTATTATCGTTCAGCCTAAAAATCAAATTCTAAAAATAAAAATGGGAATCAAATGGAAATATTATATATTCAGACTAAAGTTGGATCCAAAATCATATTTGTAAATATTTTAGTCCATACCACTAATTTATATATTTTTGGTAATAACAACCACTTCACTTACATGAAGGTAGAACAAAATAAGATAGACTTTTTGTTTTCTAATACGAGACATGAACTTTCGCTAAACTCTATTATTGTGGAGATTCGTTGTTAATATATTATTTTTTAAATAATTGTAATCTAACCACTTTTTTTTTATTTTAAATTATGCAGAATCTATTATGGATGAGTTACACGTTAAAACATACTCATTATCAAATGAATTACGGTTAAAACATACTCATTATCAAATGAATTACGGTTAAAACATACTGATTATCAAATTCAAATTAATGAATTTATGAAAATGTGTACATTTAACTACAATTTTACTTTATCTATATTTAAAATTGCAGGAAGAATATTTTGATTGGCGTTACCATAACGTTCTCACACCAGTTCGAGATAAAAAAAATGTAGTAAGTATTAGTTTTTCTTTTATTATATATATATATTTTCATATTTATATTAAGATTTATTTTGTATTTTTTTTTTTTATTACCCATCTATTTTTATATTTATATTAGGATTTATTTTACATCTTAATAATTAATTTTTTTTTTTTTTTTTTTTATTTTTAGACTGTTGTTGGGCTATAGTAGCTACGGGGGCTATTGAATCACTTTACAATATTGTTTATAAGGGTGAATACAAAAATATCCTCCAAGTTTCACCCCATCTAACCAAGGAATTGCTAAGGAAAAAGATTACAAATTTAATGCTAAGAGAGGAAATTGCAAAAAAAGTCACCACGGTAAGATTTCTTTTAAAACTCATTAATTTAATATTTTTTCTTTTAACCTATACATAATTTATTTTTTCATAAAGTATAACTGATGTATTTTATTAATTGTAGCAATTGATCCAGATTAAAGCATATTAGAAGGTAAATATTGAAAACCTATCTTCAAAAATAGAGGATCAACCCATAACTGGTTGTATAAGAATTACTGATGGATTAAAATGTGTGAGAAATGTAAGTAAAGTAATTTTTTTTTTACTAAATAAAATATTATAGTTAAACATTATTATTTAAGTATTTTTTTTTTCTTTTGTAGGAAATATATTATGGTACTCAACTATTAAATACAGACATCAGCGCTTTTTCTTGGCATGCTATTCTGATCGTTGGTTATGGAAAGGATAACCACGTAAAAAAATATTGTATCATCAAAAATTCATGGGGAGAAGCATGAGTATGAAAAGGTGAATCAAGATGTCATTAATACTCCAGAAGGTACTGTGTATTTAAAAAAAATGTTACAAACAACGAGGTTTTTTTTACCAATATTAATATCTTCTGTGTAATTGATTACATTTGATTTGTTTTTTGATAGACAAAATATTGTTTATATATATATAGAGGTTAAAAATATATAAAATTAGACATAAATTTCAACTACAAATGGTTAGTAGTATTATTATTATTATTAGTATTATTATTATTAGTATTATTATTAGTATTATTATTATTAGTATTAGTATTATTATTACTATTATTACTATTATTATTATTACTATTATTATTATTACTATTATTATTATTATTACTATTACTACTAGTATTATTACTATTATTATTATTATTATTACTACTATTATTACTATTACTACTATTATTACTATTACTACTAGTATTATTATTATTATTATTATTATTATTATTATTATTATTATTATTATTACTATTATTATTATTATTATTATTATTATTATTATTATTATTATTATTATTATTATTATTATTATTATTATTATTATTATTATTATTATTATTATTATTATTATTATTATTATTATTATTATTATTATTATTATTATTATTATTATTATTATTCAATATTTTTTTAGTCCACTAATTCTTTTTATCCAATATTTTTTTATATTTTTTATAGCCTAAAAGATCAAGTAACATAATATGTCCTAAAAGATCAAGTAACATATATGTCCTTCAAATTTTAAATTATTCAATATTTTTTTAGTCCACTAATTCTTTTTATCCAATATTTTTTTATATTTTTTATAGCCTAAAAGATCAAGTAACATAATATGTCCTAAAAGATCAAGTAACATATATGTCCTTCAAATTCTAAATTATTCAATATTTTTTTAGTCCACTAATTCTTTTTATCCAATATTTTTTTATATTTTTTATAGCCTAAAAGATCAAGTAACATAATATGTCCTAAAAGATCAAGTAACATATATGTCCTTCAAATTCTAAATTATTCAATATTTTTGTACTCCACTAATTCTTTTTATCCAATATTTTTTTATATTTTTTATAGCCTAAAAGATCAAGTAACATAATATGTCCTAAAAGATCAAGTAACATATATGTCCTTCAAATTCTAAATTATTCAATATTTTTGTACTCCACTAATTCTTTTTATCCAATATTTTTTTATATTTTTTATAGCCTAAAAGATCAAGTAATGTCCTTCAAAAAAAAATTGTTAAACTAACTTTAATTTTATAAAAATCCATAATTGTGATACACTAAGTTAGGCCAATTTTGGGTTGAAATTAGGTTATCAATTGTATGATAATTTGATGGGTAACAGTATTATTTCACTCTCGTTTATTTGATGGGTTACAGTATTATTTCACTCGTGTTGAAGAAAAGAATTCACATCTTTTGCAATGATCCTAATTTTTTAATTAAAGTCAAGATCGTTAGGATAGATATTACATATGCGTGAAAAAGTCATTTAAAATATTCATAACGTTATATGATTATAACAAAGTCATTAAAACAATGTGAGAGAAAATAAATAAACATGAATTTAAATGTCCTTATCTAAACTAAGAGCTATGGAAGAAGAATAACGTGAACACATCTACCCTAGCTTTGATCTTATGGCCGTCACTATGATGTTATCATTCGTACATGGGTGCCTTACTTTTACGTCACCGTGATGTTGTCATCCGTACATGAGTAACTTACTGTTGTATCACCGTAATGTTGTCATCCGTACATGAGTGCTCTTACTTTTACCTAAGAAATAAGAGTGATTTCAGCCCAATTACAGGGGCAATAGCAGATCACCAAAAACAAGGGAGTTGGGTGTGAGAGCAAAGAACCGTTGGCGGGAAACACCATACCACCGCTGGTTTTTGAGATCTAAGTGATTGGAAAACACCTCCTTCCACCAAGGATCAAGAACACTCGGAAAACAAGGGTTCTTTGCTCTCCCCAGCAGATGGTCATTTTTTTTTATATATATGTTTATGGAAAAGATTTAATAAATAAATGGATAAAAGATAGACGGCCCAAACTTATTTTTTAAAGCTACACCAGCCCAAGCCTGTTTTAGCCCAGCCGGCCTATTTTTAGGGCTTCAAAACTCACCATGGGCCCAAGCCTGTTTTAGCCCAGCCGGCCTATTTTTAGGGCTTCAAAACTCACCATGGGCCCAAGACTATTTGTAGGGCTTCAACACTCATCATCTTCTTTCTCTCTCTCCAGATTCCGGCGATTTGGTATCATCTTCTTTCTCTCTCCAGATTCCAGATCGGCGATTTGGTATCATCTTCTTTCTCGCTCCAGATTCCAGATTTCGTGACTCTCTTCTCTGCGTTTGCTCTCGCCAAATCATCTTCTTTCTTCTTTCTTCTCTCCATTCCAGATTTCGTGCATCTCTTCTCTGCGTTTGCTCTCGGCGATTTGGTAGCCTCTTCTACTCTTTTTTTTCTTTTTCTTTTTTTTTTATATTTTTATTTTGTATGACTGTCCCTCTGCAGTTTGGATATTTGGTATCCCTCTCTCACTCTATTAATCAAAATATATGGACATTGATTTTTTCTCCTACTTTATATTTTTAACAATATAAATCTTAATCATTTTAGTTTATATATTTCCAATCTTCATATATTTTGATGTTTCTTAATGATTCTGGTTTTGATCCTTTAAAATATTATACAGTTTGGCTATTTGGTAACCCTATCTCAATCTATTTATTTTTCCTTATTTTTATTTTTGTATGACTACCTTGGATTGGTTTCTGGTAATTTTTGTTTTTGGTTTGTTATTTGATTGATTTTTTTTACTGGATCTGTGATTTACAACTTAAAAGGTTTGATTTTCTAAGTATCTAATTTACATTTTTCTTATTATATCGGGATTTACAAGTTTCTCTTTACATGTTTTTGTTTCTTTTCCTATGATTTACAAGTATCCTTATTTTCATATTAGAATTTACAAATTTCTTTCTTTTCATAGTATTTACGAGTTTCCTAATTTACAAATTTCATTATTTTCATATTAGGATTTACAAGTTTCCTTAATTTTATATTAAGATTTACTTACTTGAAGTACCTCACTTTTAGGTGTTAATAGAATAAAAAGTCTTCCTATGAAGGACCTATGAAGTAAAAAAGAATAGGTTCAACCAACCAGATGAAGAAATTATAAAACTAGAAAAACTAGTATTATAAAACTTAATAATTTTCACCAATGTACTCAAACCCAAACCCAATCTACTCAAACATGTTAATTATCTATCTAAAATTATTTTGCAAATGTGCTTAGATGATATATATACACAATCAGATTGAACAATGAACACCTATTTACGCTAAGCTGACCAAAAAATATTCAACGAAAAACACTAAGTTGACCAAGAGAGCAGAGTAAACAGGATCGAGAGTTTGTGTTTCAATTTCTTACCACCGAAACACGACCGAGAGTTTGTCTCAGTTACTTACTGTTGGAGGGGATGAGGACGGAACTGTAAGACGGAGGGATTATTTGTACAAAAGAGAGTGAGACATCGACTGCCGATCCTGAGAGAGTGAGTCGTGTATCAGACATAACCGAAATAGGAAGATTCTCCAGATCTTCTTTCTCAGTTTCTCCTGATTTTTGGCAAAAGTAGGAGGTTGGACGTGGATCAGATAGCCGAAATGGATCTTCTTTCTCCGTTTCACCCGTATTTTAACTGCCATTTACCCGGAGGTAGGGTGGATCAGATGACCGAAGTAGGAAGATTATCCAGATCCAGGCCTGTTCCTCTTCAAACTAGGGAGGGGGCGTGGATCAGATGAACAGAATCGGAAGATTATCCGCTCCATGTCCGGTTCTCCATATCTTCGAATTTTTGGCTAGGGTCGCCGGCGCCTTTCGATTTTTGGCAAAAAAAAAAAAAAAAAAAAGAGAAATTAACCTGAGCAATTAAATGGCCCACCCAAATATACAGACGCCATCAATGGAGCAATTAATGGCTCACCTTCTTCTCTCATTTACTCTGCCCCCTCCCTCTTCTCTGCGTTTACCTCCTCTCTCTCTCTATTTTCTTTCTAGCCCATTAAGAATATGAAAAGCCCAGCCCATTAATAATGTGAAAAACCCCATCAAATATGAAAAGTCCCTATGAAGCCCATTAAGAATATGAAAAGTCCCTATGAAGCCCATTAAGAATATGAAAAGTCCCTATGAAGCCCATTAAGAATATGAAAAGTCCCTATGAAGCCCATTAAGAATATGAAAAGTCCCTATGATGCCCATTAAGAATATGAAAAGTCCCTATGAAGCCCATAGGATGGAAGCGATAATTTGTACCACTTGTCATAATTATATGAGAAAGATATCTTCTGGAGGTGGGCGATCCGATCAGACGGCAATCACTGAAGTAGTTCAGCTGCTCAACTAAATGCTATGTACTCATTTTCTCATAAGATTCTCCAGATCTTCAATCGTTCTCCATTTCTCCATCAATGGCGGGATTTTTGGCAACTATTCGGCGCCTGTACCTCTCCATCTACAATTGGACTCTCTTCGTCGGATGGTAAGTTCTTCCCCCTTCTCAATCACTTCCCTCTTCATATTTCTACTCGTAATGTAAAATTTTGTTTGGGTGTTGAAGGGTTCAGGTGTTCTACTTCTCAGTCAAGCAATTGAAGGAATCTGGTCACCAACAGGTATATAATGCCGTCGAACGTCCTCTTCAGTTTGCTCAAACTGCAGCTGTTTTAGAGGTATTCCCTGATCGTTTCTGGTTTATGAGCTGATTATCGTGATAGAGCCTATTATGAAGTATTTTATAATGATTTCTCGCATTTTTCTACTTCGCAGATTCTCCATGGCCTCGTTGGTAAGCTATATTTGATCCGCTTACAAGTTTTGGTGTCGAAGATTTTCTTTCTTTCCCTGATTGTAGCTTAGAAACGAAGCTGAATCGTGGGTTTTGGTTTTTGCCTAATTAGGGCTTGTGAGATCCCCTGTAACAGCAACGTTACCACAGATAGGTTCTAGATTGTATTTGACTTGGGGCATCTTATGGAGTTTCCCTGAGGTTGAAACCCTTCTTTTTCATTCAATTAGCCATAAATTAGTGTTTATGTTTGTAATTTTAATTGATAAAACTGATTACTTCTTGGGTCTGGCAGGTTAGGAATCATGTACTTGTTTCCTCCTTGGTCATCAGCTGGTCTATCACAGAGGCAAGTACATTTTTTTTACTGGAAACCTTAATTCCAAACTTAATTTACTCACTTTAGTTATTGATTATAACCTTTAACAAACCACAAGAGATGATCCAAGATTCTTTTTATAATGAATCTATGCTTATCGGCTTTATCGGCTTTATGTGTGTGTAACTCCAATGGTTGATGCTTTGTGATGGGCTTCTGATTTTTAGGAATTATGTACATTGTTAACTCAGTTTTTATTGTTAAGTTTGCCGACCATTGTATATTCTGTGAGATGATAATTTATTAGATCATCACTTCCTCATTCAAATTAGTAGATCTAGAATGTGTTTGACATGATTCGTAGAATTGTGAAAATTTGGTTACTTAATTCTTGCATGTTTAGGAGTGACTTTGAAATGGTCAAAAATCACTTCTTAGTGATTTTGCCATTCCAAACTTACTCTCAAACATGCTTGAGGAGTTTTGAAATGGTTAGGATTACTTTCATCATGTTCGAACCTACTCCAGAACATGCTTTAATCATTCATTCCAAATCAACTTAATGTTTGATTTTACAATTTTCATACCGTACAAATTGATTTTGAGTAATTAAAAACATGTTTCAGAGTTATTTTAAATGCGACAAAAGTGATTTTATCTACCTCAAAGTGTTCTTTTTGAAGTAGTTATAGAAAGAGTTAGATACTTAGAAATTCATTACAAACCAGTCCTAAGTTATGGAAAAAAGTTCCAAAATCTATCTATCAAGGCATACAGTTTTCAAGATGTACCATGGAGACGAATAAACAATTACTGACTTTATGTTGATATGCAATCTGTTGTGGATAAGTTCTATGTCTGGTTTCTTCGTCTTACCCTCCAATAGTTGAATGGTACAGTTAAAGGGAGAAGATTGAAGATTCTCTGAGTTGACACTTTTTACCAATCTTTGATTGCAGATTATCCGGTATTCATTTTATGGCATGAAGGAGGCGTTTGGTTTTGCACCTTCATTGCTCCTATGGCTAAGGTACTGGCTCCTTATGTAGTGGAGTGGAGTACAATTGGTCGGTGTTCTCTGCATCTGTGATATTAAAACTGTTCTCAATCATATCATGTAGGTATAGCACATTCCTCTTGCTGTATGTAACAGGCATCACTAGTGAAGTTGGTTTAGTCTATCTGGCTCTTCCTTACATGAAGGTAAGAAATCCAATGTCATGTTGTACACATGATTCACTCTTACGAATTCAATCCCAAACCGATCTTGGGCATGCTGCGTCGAAGTATACGTCGTTCCATTAGGAAGTTTGTCGTCATTTCAAATTGCAGTGAATGATCGTAATGAGTTGCTTTCAGGAATCTGGGAAGTATTCTTTTAGAATGCCAAACAAATGGAACTTTTCTTTCGATTACCTCTATGGAGCGATGCTTATTCTTGCAATCTACGTGCCAGGTTCAAGTTCTTGCTGCTTTTCTTTTGCTTATGTTTTTGTATTTGCTCCTTTTGGTAATACAGAAACTGTGTCCTGCAGGAAGTCCACATATGTACCGCTACATGCTTGTTCAGAGGTCAAAAGCTCTCTCAAAATCCAAAAAAGAGTAGGAAAAAATGAAGTTAATGTTATTCTCGGGTTCAGTTTGTCTTAATTCAGTGTACTTTCCGCATATTTATCCTTAATTTTCATTTTTGATCCTTAATTTTTATTTTTGATTGGCTTAGTCTTGTTAAGGACATTTTGTTTCCTCCCTTAATAAATTTGTCTACTGAGACTGCTTAATCAACTCTTAATCTAACTCTAATTAAGCTAATATGATTGATTTAATTATAATATTAAGATTAGTCGGATAATTGTTGTTCTGCTTTTGTGTGATTGTTTCTTTGAATTATTGTATGCTAAATCATTTATTACTCTCATTTAATTGTGTTGTTCTATTTATGGTTTTCTCTTTCTTATTGATATTCATTTATGAATGGTTTTCACATTTTATTTAATCATCTTATATTATTTTATATTTATATTATTTTATATTGACGGTTGAGAGCAATTTATTATTTTATTAATATATTTTGGTTGTAATGATGTGTAATGTTGAAGCTTTGAGTTGAGCTGTTTTTATTTGAAAATTTGCCAGAACTGTATATATTTTTTTGAAAATCAAAATATAACGTTCTAATAAGATTTTTAACTCATTAATTTAATTTGCAACCAGATATGTCATAATCAACGTCCTAATTTGTTTTAAAAATATATCTTTTTTAAATAAAAAAAAAAGTTGCAATACTATGATCTTTAATAAACATTTCTAAAGTAAAAATTTATAAATTAGTAACTAAAATGTTTGTCTAGATTTCATTTTGTTTGAGATGGGCATCAATGGAGACATCAATGGAGCAATTAAGCGGCCAATTAAGTCTTTCCATTTAAGTCATTCCATTTAAGTCAATGGAGCAATTAACGAATTAGGTGGGTCACCTACGGCCATCAATGTAGCAATTAAGTGGCTCACCAATTTTTATACTTATTTTCATTCGGCCCAAACTTTTAAAGCTACTCCGGCCCAAGCGCCCAAACTTTTAAAGCTACTCCGGCCCAAGCGCCCAAACTTTTAAAGCTACTCCGGCCCAAGCCTGTTTTTTAGCCCAAGAAAACCGGCCCATTTTTAGGGCTTCAAAACTATCATCTTCTTTCTTCTCTCCAGCCTCTTTTCTGCGTTTGCTCTCTCCGCCCATTTGTAACTTCCCTTTCTCTATTTATAGGGCTTCAAAACTCACCATCTTCCTTCTCCATTATCTTCCCCTCCTCTCTGCGTTTGCTCTCCGTCAATTTCGTAAGTCTCTTACTCTATTTTTTTTTCTTTATTTTTATTTTTATCATGTTTGCTGTGCGAGTTGGATCGAGTTGGATCATCTCTTGCCCCTCTCCTGTTTCTGCTAATTTTTGTAATTGTTGTGTTATTTTATCTCAGGCCATTTCTGGTAATTTTTGTTATTGCTGTATTTTTCTCTTGGATGTGTGATGATTCTCCCCCTTGTATATATATTTTTAACCCTATAAACTTGTCCAATCTCTATATCTTTTGTTGTTACTCATGGGTTTTGGATCCATTCAAATTTTATTAACAAACTAAATTAAAAAAATTGATTTGGATATATTAGATGAAGGTACTTCGAGCACTGGATCTGATGCCTTCTTCAAACCACCTCTCGGAGGAAGAGGAGGAAGAGATAGATTCGGACGATGAATTTTATCAAGACGGTTACCATACTATCACTAAGAAAGAAGAGAGGGAGTATTTTCGTGCAGTTGAAGAATCGGAGGTTTATTTTCTTTTAATTTTTCACTGGTCAAACTCAATATTTTTTTTCTTTATTTTTTCTTTTTTTAATCGAAGGATGTATGCAGGGTTTTGATGTACCAGATTTTGACAAAGTCTTTTCATGTAGTTTCATCATTCCAATAGATATGCATGAGAACTCGTGGATGCTTAAAGAGGTTCGAATCTCAGCAAATAAAGCTATCAAACATTACAACAAGGAAAATGTAATGTTCTGACTTGCTAGCTATGCTTTTTTTTTTTTTTTTTTTGTTTTATCATGTGAAAAAGAATTTGTCCACTCATGTATGTAAATATTTCTTTTATCTTCCTATAGATAGGGAACTAATTTTGAAGTAGTAGAGATTGTGAAATGTTTCTTTTATGTTTCTTTTATCTATAGGGAACTAATTTTGAAGTTGTAGAGATTGTGAAGGCGAATCATTCTGGATGTTGTGGCTCGATGTATTACATCACATTTAATGTGAAGCCGATTGGAACCTCGGCAGAATTTCCCCCAATAACCTTCCAAGCTAAAGTTTATTATGTTATTCCTATAAAAGATATTATAGACGTCAAACTTTGCAGACCAAAGTTCTTTAATTAGCGACCGATAAACTACTCATTACTTTTTATCATATCATTTTGGTTGGCTACTTGTTACTTTTTATTACTTTTTATCGTATCATTTTGTTTGGTTGTGAGGTCTGACAATATTATATAATTAAATATATTGGTGTTATGTTTGAATTTTGTATTGTTTTCTTAGCACAAACATGTGCAACATAACTCTTAGAAGGACAGTACTAATTTAAATTTAGTATTTAAATTATGAAGCATATTAGTATAGAAGCATATTAGTATAGTACTAATTTAAATTTAGTATTTAAATTATGAAGCATATTAGTATAGAAGCATATTAGTATAGAAGCATATTAGTATAGAAGCATATCATACTAGAAGCATATCATACTAGAAGCATATCATACTAGAAGCATATCAGTATAGAAGCATATTAGTATAGAAGCATATCATACTAGAAGCATATCCGACTTATCTCACGGAGAATTGATTCATTTTCTATGACCTCTATTTCCTCCTTTCCAAATTCTTAATTATTCAATATTTTTTATTATTCTCTTATTTTTAATTATCTAATATTTTTTATCAATATTATTTCCTCCCTTCCAAATTCTTAATTATTCAATATTTTTTATTATTTTCCTATTTTTAATTACCTAATATTTTTTTATCAATATTATTTATTTATTATTATTATTTCTTTTATTTATTTATTTATTATTATTATTTCTTGTTTCGTAATTATTTAATGTATATACAAAGTAATCAGAATTTCTTAATAAAAGGAGAAAGAAATATGATTAATCTTAATATCATAATTAAATCAATCATATTAGCCTAATTGGAGTTAGACTAAGCAGTCTGGGTAGACAAATTTATTAAGGGAGGAAACAAAATGTCCTTAACAATACTAAGCACATCAAAAATGAAAATTAAGGATAAATATTCGGAAAGTACACTGAATTAAGACAAACTGAATGAGAGAATAACATTAACCTTCATTTTTTTCTGTTCTTTTTTGGATTTTGAGAGAGCTTTTGACCTCTGGACAAGCATGTAGCGGTACATATGAGGACTTCCTGCAGGACACAGTTTTTGTATTACCTACAGCAAGAGGAATGTGCTATACCTACATGATATGATTGAGAACAGTTTTAATATCACAGAGGCAGAGAACACCGACCAATTGTGCTCCAGGAGAGCCAGTACCTTAGCCATAGGAGCAATGAAGGTGCAAAACCAAACTCCTCATTCATGCCATAAAATGAATACCTGATAATATGCAATCAAAGATTGGTAAAAAGTGTGAACTCAGAGCATCTTGGTTATAACCATATTCACCCTTGCTGAATCAAAAGTTGTGCTCTCTCCTCCGGCTTATGGTTATAACCATATTCTCCTTTCTCTCTCCTGACAGAAGTTGTCATCTCTCCTCTTGGTTATAACCATATTCTCCTCGAGTATTCTTCAGTGACTCTCTACTGCCAGCAGTATTCTTATTCTTGAGTGACTATAAATATTCATCACTTGCCCAAATATTCATCACTTGCCCTCTCATCTGTGATCAGGTTCGTCTCTCCTCCTTTGCTCATTTTAATTTCATACTTCCTCCTTCCTCTTTTCTTTTTTTCTCTGTTTTCTTCTGTTCGCTGGGAGAAAAAAAAAGCTGCCAGAGAGCATTGCATCGGTTGGCAATGGCGTTTCAGATATTTAATAACGAGGCGGTGGCTGTCGCCAGTGCTTCCGGCGTATTGGCTACCATCGGTAGTTTAAAATCTATGCCTGGGTGTGGTTGTTGGCACTGCTGTCGGTGTCTATTCATAAGGAGGAGGGTGACAGTCGATGTTCCAAACCTTCGAGAGGGTGGCTCCTTCCCTCTTCGTTTCATGTCTGCACTAATTCTTCTTTTTTTTTTTTCTTTGTCACAGGTCTCTTTTTGTTCTTGTTCAGGTACGCCCTTCCTTTTCTCTGTTTTTTCTTTCTCTTTGTTTTTGCATGAGCTATGTTTTTCTTTCCTTTTTATTTTCTATTTTCTTTTCTTGTTATTATAGTTCAGCCTAAAAATCAAATTCTAAAAATAAAAATGGAAATCAAATAGAAATATTATTTATTCAGACTAAAGTTGGATCCAAAATCATATTTATAAATATTTTAGTCCATACCACTAATTATTTTTTTTTTGTAATAACAACCACTTCACTTACATGGTAGAACAAAATAAAATAGATTTTTTCTTTTCTAATATGAGACATGAACTTTCGCTAAATTATATTATTGTGGAGATTAGTTGTTAATATATTATTTTTTAAATAATTGTAGTCTAACCATTTTTTTTTTAATTCTGCAGAATCTATTATGGATGAGTTACAGGTTAAAACATACTCATTATCAAATGAATTACGGTTAAAACATACTCATTTTCAAATTCAAATTAATGAATTTATGAAAATGTGTACATTTAACTACAATTTTACTTTATCTATATTTAAAATTGCAGAAAGAATATTTTGATTGGCGTTACCATAACGTTCTCACTCCAGTTCGAGATCAAAAAGAATGTAGTAAGTGTTAGTGTCATACCCGAAGAAAGGGAAATAGAAATAGAAAAGAAAAAAAAAAGAAGGAAAAGTCGAATATTTGCCCCTCTAACCACCTAAGGGGTCCAACCAAAACCCCATCCATAACCCTGCAAAAGAGGGATAGTGAGAGAAAGGGGTAGAGAGGGGTCCAACCAAAACCCCATCCATAACCCTGCAAAAGAGGGATAGTGAGAGAAAGGGGTAGAGAGAACCTAGAGAGAGGAGAAATGATGAACCGCCGGAAGACTCACCGAAAACTACCGTCGGAGTCTATTCCGGTGAGGATCATGATGCAAGGAGGTGAAGATCATGCATAGAGACTTTCTTGGAAGGGAAAAGAGAATGTGGGTGGCCGGAGTCCCATTTTTCATCAAGAAGTCGGAAAACCCGCAAGGTAAGGATCTTGAACGTTTTCTCAGATCTACGGTTTTTTTTCCTTGTGAATCAAGATCTGAAATCTTGATATATTCATCTAGGAACAACTCTATGCATGATCTATGAAGAAGTTTGGCCGAAACCTCAACCCGAAGGCGGAGATTCGAGAGTCGTCCGAGAACGGTGAGCGAAATTCCAATCTTCTTAACTCGTCCAGTAGTTAATAAAAAAAAAATTACGAAAAAAAATACAAGGACGAAGCCAGTAACACGATCTAAAACTTTGTCGAAGGAATCATGTCGATCCGATCTACGGATCGAAAGATATGAAAATTGGAAAAGAAGGTTGTGTTTCGGTTTTCAGAGGGCAGAGAAGAAAGGAGAAGAAGAAGGAAAAAAAGAAGAAGAAAGGAGTCGGCCGGCGAGCGGCGGACGGCGGCGACAGGCGCCGGACACGCGTCGATCATCGGCTGGAGCAACGCAGCTCCAGCGATGCGTCAACACGTGTCGCCCGCAAGCCGGGCCGAACCGCGACGCGAGCCGAGCCGACCGGACCGGCCGACCCGCGACTGTGCAGAATTGGGCGCGCGTGGCAGGCGCGGGTGCAGCCTGCGGCTGGCGCCTTCCCGCGCGCGTGGCCACGCACTTCCAGCGTGCTGCTGGGCGCGTGAGCGCGCGTGGAGCGGCCAATTTGGCCCGGTTGTTTTTTGTTTTCTCGATTTTTGTCCCGGCTCCAGTTCTAATACTGTTTTTACGTGGATAGGGACTTAATTTAGAGAAATCAGTAGTTTTGGACACCTCACGGGCAAAGAAACGCTAGCGAAAGGGCACGCGTCAACCAGGTAAGTCACCACCCGGTATTTAGGAAGAAATACTTGTAGGATTCGCTCAGATTGCATGCATGCTAGTAGTTCTGCTTCAGATTAGCTCAACATGTAAGTTACTAGTCAGTTTATCTGTTGTGTTTGAATTGTGTAAATTACATGAGTGTTGCTTGTATGCCTTAGGCTTCCGCCGTATGTATGCATGCGTTATTTTATGTGTAGAATTGAGTATGCCGGGTTTCGGGTGTTTGATGGACGAATTCGCCCCATTGAGCGCGAACTTCGTGCTCTGGGTGCTTGATGGAGGTCATCGCCCCGCTGAGCCGGTATGCCTAGTTTGCATGAATTACATACTATGATGTAGAAGAAGATTACATGCA